AAACAAGGCAAAAGAAGAGTTGAAAGAAGAAACGATAATGAGAAAGGAAGGAAAGCAAAGTTAGGCAAAGAAACAATTCAAGACTGAAGCAACAGAATTAAAAACGAAACAGCTCCAGGCTAGGCGAGATTCATCGTTCGCTAGAAAGCATGCGGCGCAAGCTTTGTGGCTCGCTACAGAGCTGGCGAGGCAAGGTCTGAGGCGCGGTGGACTGCGCTATAGAGGTTGCGAGGCACGGTTTGTAGCGAGGGTGTCCGGATTTTTAAAGCCTATTTTGTCTCCTATTCGATTTTGGACTTAGTTATTTCGTTTGAGTCTTTTCCATACACCTATAAATAGTCATTAAACACCATTTTTAGAGGAGTTTTTTTGCGACCGGAGGCAAGAACATCACATGGAATAACTTTTGGAGGAGAAAATCATAGAGTTCTTCATCCCTTTATCTTTTCTTTGTAATTTGTTTATGCAAAATACTTGAAAAATTGTTACTACGAACATGAGTGGCTAAGCACTCTAAGTTCTAGGGTTGTGGTTGACATGATTATTAACGTTTATTAATTATATCTTCGTTAATTCGAATTTTTATCTTGTGGTTGTTTCTTTAATTCTAGTTTTAATTTGTGAATTGTTGTAGCTACCAAATCACCCTACTATCTATACTATGCTTGGGAAAATCGTGTTTAGATTAGAGTAGAATTAGAGAAAGCTTGTTTCCGAACCCGTGGCTCGGGGGACGATTTTACGGTTAGGATAGGAATATACCTAACAGTCTTGCTTAATTAAACACCGTATTATATTCGTTCATGATAGACTCAATACCATAGGAATATATGATTGATATATTGTGGGCAGACGAGTAGTATTGTGGGAACATGCTATTCATATAAACGATCCGGTTAATTAGCAACCATATACAATATGGATTAACGAGTGTAATTATTGAACATAATAAGATTGATAAACCAACCACAACTCTGGAATTTTCATCTCTTCTGAAGTAAAATCTCATCATACGCATTTGCATTCTTGATAAATTAGTTGTTGTTTAATTTTCGTAATAGTAGATTAATAGAAAAACTTCACTCTTAATAAATTAGTTGTTGTTTAATTTTCGCAATAGTAGATTAATAGAAAAACTTCACTCTTAAATAGCTTGGACAATTAATAGATTTTAGTTTGCTTAGTTAACGATCAATCTAAATCTCTGTGGGTTCGACATCTGACTTACTTGTAGACGGATAAAAGTAAAATAACTAGATTGATCGTTGCCGGGAACTTAATAGGATTGTGAAGCCTGATATCATGGGTCACTTTGAACTTAAAAAGTACACGGTACAACTGATTCAATCCATAGGGCAATATGTTGGCTTATCTCATGACAAAATGGAGTCTAGAAAAAGTAGTGTGTAGGCAGTCCTTATCAAGATAGCGATGCTTTTTCTAACAGATCCACGACTCAAGGAGAGATGAAAAAGAAGTCGATACAACAAAACAGTACTCATTAAAATCCCCCGAAATGTTATTATCTCAAGAAACAACCATATTGAAACGTTCGGAATAGCAAATTTAGTTTAATGGAGCAGCAAAATGATAGCAACTAATCTTAGCTAGCTGGAAATATAGTTTCAGCATGCTAACAATGATAAGCTCGTGATCGATGCTCTTACATTCAGGCCAAATACCATCCTCAGACTAGCTCTGTACTATTCGGAGACCAGCACGAAAATTCAGACAATCACGCAGGATACGTTGATTCAGACAGCTCTTAACGTTTAGGGTGGAAAGTAGAGGCATGGCTGTAGTTTCCACCTCAAGACTCCGCAGGGAGGGCAAATTCAAGAGATGTAAATGTTTGAGCTGAGGGAAACCTGAAGCAGAACAGACCATCTTCTCCCCCATATAAGCATCATCAGAGAGGACCAAGACCCGTAAACTAGGAAGCTTCTGCAAGGTTATCATTGAATCTTCGTTAAGATGAGAACGATTAAGAACTAACTGAGTGAAACTTTTGGAGATTTCACCATACGGTGGTAGGCGGCCAATATGTCCCTTAAAGTGCAAGGCTCGAACAACTTTGCACCTTAACAAATCTCGAAGGACTGAATGCCTTTCCTCTGCATAGCAATCCAAATTTATGATATCAATGGAGGAATATAGCTGGGTGGTTGGTGGAGTTTTCATGTGTCTTGTGATTGAAACGAAGTCCTTAAAGTCCCCCTCCACCTTTGCCGCCACGTACTGGAGGTTGGAAAATTTCGATACATCATCAGCTTTACAAACACTTGTGTTGAAGTTCTCGAGGGTTTCAAGATCCGTCAAGGTATCTAGCCGCAGTTTTTCTCCATTTCCAGTTTCAAATCTCACTGGGAGATATAAATGGTTCAATCTCTCCATCTTCCATAGGACATTTGGAATTTTTGTCGTTTTGTTTGATACTAATTTTACTCTCAAATCAAGTATCTGCAAGTACGACAACTTGCTAATAGATGATGGCAACTCCTCCAAGATACACCCCTTGAAACTCAGATACTTCAAAGGCACAAGACTTAAAATACCCGCAGGTAATCCCTGCCCCTGAAAATCAATCCCATCAAAATCAAGAATTCTAAGAACCTTGAACTCCTTAAATTTAAGCAGTTCAGACTGCCAACAAAATTCTGGTTCTTGATGCTTGTTTCCACGGGCAATTTGAAGACTCCGAACATTTTTAGCAACTTTAGGAGCAACAACAAGGGGATGATTACCCAGATATATGAAAAGTCGACATGGTTCCGCATCTGAAGAGAGTGAATAGTCATCTTGGCTTAAATCCATGACTTTGAGAAAAGTTTGTTGTTCACCACTTAAGTCATGACATAAGTTTCTTATTGCTCCAGTAGTTCTACATGCCCTGAACTCCTTATAAGTTGGAACTTCCTCTTCTTTTACCAGCTCTATCATGCCCTTAAGGGCCAGTTCTCTCAGATAACGTTCTGCTACGTCCATCATTCTCTCCCCTCTAGCGTGTTCATTTGTTGATAATAAGCCTTCAACCTTCCACAAATGAGACAGCCTCTCGAGATCTATCTCTTGATTTTCTAAGAAATGAACCAAATACAAAAAACATGGTTTTAAGTGATCTGGTAACTTCTGATAATATTGGAAAAGAAAATTGGACCGACACTTCCGGCTCACTTTATGCTCCATGTTCTTCTTGTCTTTTGACATATATGCCAAGTTTAATGCAAGCTCCTTGATAAGCTGTGGAACACCTTCGCAAGTTTCTACCATGATCTCCATCGCATTTGTTGTCATTTGGCCAGCTAAATATCTCGCAAATTTACACGAGTCAGTTAAATAAGAATATACGGATTTAAGAGATCGAAATGAAAAGCAATAGTAATTCATAGGATTGATATTCTCTAAGATTTAGAATTTTTCTAAGATGTCCTCTAATGAGATGGGTAGGACATTATTATATTCTTTAAATTCTTATAACTTTCCTTGTTGGAATTTGAATTTTCAGAATTCAGTGCTTGGTTTTCTTAACTTTATTTTTTTAAAATAATAATAATTATATAGATTTTAAAAAAATACAAGAAAATTTTTATTTAAAAAGAAAAAAGAAAAAAAAAAGAGTAAATAACTGACCTCTACCGTTGGAAGAGAAGACCTCCTTAAACAAAGCCAGGCAATGGGGTTTATCCAAGAGCTTCATCCTATGGACGTATTGCATTGGAGAAATGTATTCTGCTATATATCCTGACTGGGTGGTTACAAGTATTTTGCTACCCTTCTCCAATTGTTGCAATGTTGTGCGCAGGGTATCCCAAGCTTCAGTTGAACGCATGTCATCTAGGACTACTAGGCTCCTCTGAGATTTACATCTTCGCTTATGGACTTCGTTAACTAATTGTCTTTTTGCCATATCAAACTTGTCGGGTAGAATATCAATCCAGATGCAAGTCCCGAACTCCTTAAGAACCATTTGGTCCTTGGAAATTTCTTTAGCAAGAGTGGTCTTGCCCGATCCAGCAACTCCACATATTGGGATGACTAACAGAAAGGCTGACTCAGGGTTGTTGGACGACCCGGCTCCTCCTGTGATAATTTGAAG